AAAGACCTTGTAACAAGAGTTACATATGTTAGTGAAAGTAAAAAATCCAGTCACCTGCCCAGAAATTGATTTATTCCCGTCGCCATCGAAAGAGTTCCAAGCGATCTTCGATACTAAATTACTAACACTTACTGGGACAAGGAATGAAGCGCCCACCGTGTTGGTAGAAGAAAACAAGCAGGATGCCACTTTTAATTGGTTCAAACTCACATTAGATACAACGAAAATCAAACTAACACTTTGGGGGATTGCGGGATATTTTAGATATTGAAGAATGGGTTTAAGAAAGTGACTAATGCAAAATATCTGCACATAAAGTCTATATATAGTTTAAAGTGAAAGTAGATTATAGACGTGATTTAAGAGCAGCAAATGAAATTACAAACTTTAGCCTGGATACTTGGGGTTTGCAAAGCTTAAAGTGTTTTGTTTTGTTTTGTTTTGGGTTTTTTTTTTTTTTCTTTATTTTTTTAACGTTGTTTTGAGCTTTTAATTAGATATTGAAAGCGCCTAAAGCTTCTCTTATGCCTAAACACATTACACTGCAATGGGGGTAGGATCTATTGCTCGAGATTGAAAGTATAGACTGATTTGTATATGTTGTGTGTAGACGAGTCTTAGTCAATTCTTTTGTATGGTTACGGAACTGCTTTGTACCTAGAATGATTTTTTGTCATACAATTCACGTTTTTACGAAATGAAAGGAAGTTACAAACTTAACACATTATCGAAGAGGAGCAACAGAAGGGTAGATGATTTCAGAAACACCAAAAACCTGATCAGTGTATATTTTCAACGATGCTCTGGCCTCAACCAACACCAACCAACCTCCCCCTATATACTTCCATCCCATAGCATTTCTTCATGGGCCAAGAACTCTTCACATATAGCTAGCTAGTTCGGATGAGATGTTTCATGGACCTGCAACCAATTTTGTGATTGCATAAGATAGAGCAGGTGATGTATAGAATAACACAATAGCTCCAACAATGAACTTTGACCACAATACTTGCAAGACGTGAGGTTGACTCTCAATAGATATTTTGACATTGGATAGGCTATTTAGTTAAAGAAACTAAATGTGTAGTAAATGTAACTTAGATGTGGTGGTTGAGGTATATTTATAATTTTCAAAGATTGCTTTTTATACAATAAATTCTATTTTAATAGTTTTAAATCACCACAATATACTGTAATTTTATGAGATTTATGAAAGTACATTAACTTTAATATTAAGATATTTAAAACAATGTTAGACATGATATTATCTATCAGGGATGAAGATGATGGAGGAGGGCGGTCTTTGGCTAGTTAGCCGGTCTTTCAAAGGTTATGTTGGTTTTAAATGTTCACAAATTTAAAAACCATGTAACACAAAAGGCTAGCTTATCAAGTAGCTTGTTATGTCAAAGAATATCTTAATTTCTGGCCATTTTACAATTCTAGTTTCTGCTTAATTAGTTTAGCCATGACCATGCGCATGCTTCATGCCAGAAACAACAAAATGAAATAATTCCATGGAACCGCAAGCATGGAAGGATCACACA